GAACCAATCACAGCACTAAGTGGGTCTCATTTGAAACCATGGAGATGTAAGTCAGTACACTAGGACGCTAGGAGTGTGGCTTAATACCTGCCCCTATTTCAGGTTTGTCATTCAAATTGGGTCAGTTTCAATCTTAAATTAGTTTGAATATTTGTGTACCTTAACAACGGCTCTATATTATGCTTTATGAAGGCGATCGTTATAAAAGTCGATTTAAGCTTGGTATGCTCTTCTTGTAATGAGCTTATTGCGCGGTAGTAGCCTACCGGAAGCATCGATAACAGCTGGCGAACACCAAACCAGTCTACCGAGCCTTAAACAAGATGGTCTCCGCGGTGAGCTGAGCTTAAATGGAATCCCACATCGCATAATAAACAATATCAGAAATATAGATAAGTTAAAATCCGTGAACCCTAGGTCGGGGTACTTGGGTCATCTGTAGCCTCGTATCTTTCTGGCATATTTCGAGCGGCTAGGCAGCGACGATACACCAAAGTAAGCCTGGCCTAGCAAACTTGAAAGTGACAAGTGCCAGTGTGCGTCTGGACGTAGTGATTTTCTGATGGTACTATAGAGTTGTATGCTAATGGTACTTCGTCTTTTTAATTAACTGCCATGGAGAAAAGATACTGAGATCAAGACTTTCTTTCTATGAATTCACCATCAACACGTACCAATGTAGTCACATCAAGATTATTTTTCGTCTGTATGGCTAACCAGGCGCGAACGTATCATACATCCCGTCATTAATGGCGTTCGGATAACTGCTCATTAATGAGTTCTCGAGCTAGCCCCATATCTGCAGGGCCATAGTTAAGTTGAGTACGGCCGCTCCATCTCTACCTTAATATCTCAGTACAATCATTCACAGCCTTAATGCTTGAGGTGTATGCTGACGTCGGCGATAAATAATGGGATTGAAGTGAATGACTCAGTTGAACCAGCAAAGCGCGAGCACAAGCGGAGAAGGGCTCTCTGCAGACTCCCGATTAAAGCCAAATACAGGAAGGATGCTCTAGCCCACTAGTATCTATACCGTATCATAAAATAGCCCTTAACATCTGAACAATATAAGCTTTAAAATACAAAGTGGCGCAGATGTGATATTTACCAACTCTTATTGTGATCTTAATTGATCCAAAAGGTGACTGCAATTTCCAGGCGCTGTGCAGCAGCTATAAAAGCATACTGATGTGCAAGATTCCAAAGGGCGGCTTGGAATTGATGCTGCGCCGAGTCAACTATCATAATGCTCAAAGCGAACACAGCGAAAAACTTTGAAGCTGATGCTCTTCTCGTCCTACACTACTTGAACCAACTCTTTTTAAACTATTTCTATTGAATATGAATCCTGAGGTACTAGCCAAACGTTAGTAATCGGTCGTACGTGGCAATGGAGAGGCGATTTTATTAGTGCATGCACTTCTGGTGGCTAATTATATGCTCTACTTTAATTAGTGCATGCACTCTCGCCAGGTAATAAGTATCTTCCGAAGGTGAGAAGTGATAAAAAAAAAGAAAAACGTCACAGGTCACAAGATCTTTAGCCGGATTTCAGAGAATGATGCTAAAATAAGCCGTCTTGAAGTCAAGAGTGAAAGGGGACAGCTGACTGAGAGAAGAGCGCAGCAGTATCGCAATGATACTGGTTGAATGTAAAACAAGACAAGAGGCAAAGGGAAAAAAGTTGCTCAAAGGCTGGACGACCACAAGTGATTTCCGCATAAGAATGGAGCTTTTAAGATAAGAAAATTGGAAGGGTGCCGAGTTTTCAACTATCCAATGGTGGTCCAGGTGCATTGTGTTGTGCATGGTTTTGTATCAGCCAAATAATGGATAAAAATTGTCCTAACAGGAACAATGCAACGAGGGCTTGCGATATCAAAAAATTCGCAGTGTCGGTCCGTATGTAATAAGGATGGATATGTCAGTCTGTAAAAGAGAATGTTGATGAGTCAATAGAAAGAACATGAGTGATCATCGCACTTTTCATATATGTACATACATTGGTGTACGCAGGCGTAGATACATAGATGCGAGTAAACGCAAACAACTAAATTCAATAGTCTTCAAGCTAGAATTTAACATGGGAAGATATGCATAAGCGCATATAGACACACACAAGCTCTTGTCTGGAAGATTGATGAAATGGACAAAAACTTGATCCAGGGAGAGGTCACTTTCAAACGTGAAATTACATGAGAAAAGGCATATTAACGTGCTTAAAATAATGAATGTTAGATTTCGAAGACAGAAAATGAAAGCTAGTAAGAGATAGGCGGAAAGATAGTGCTAATAGAAGACAAGGACAAGACGCAACGCTAGTTAAGAATCAGGAAATTAGAGTGTATGTATTTGGCTCAGGTCCAGACATGCTCAGAAATTAGCCTAGGATATATGCATAAGAGAGCACGGAAGCCGCGGATTTGATCTGAAAAAGATCTGTTGTCCCATGACTTTTGTGAATAAAGACGTAAGATAAAGATAAAGAAAAACTAAGGTATAAAGATAAATTCAAGGAAAAAAAACTAGAGGCATAGTTTTGAAGTGAAATTTCCACTTATACGGCACGATATGACGGGATTAAAACGCTTTGATTGAAGCGATGAAAACAGGTGTTGGTCGTAATAAGATCGGAGCGTATTTGCAGAGATGGCATATACGTGTTTTAGATTTATATAATATTAATAGTAATAATAGTATTAGTAGTAATAAAAGTAATACATTAAGATAAAAACTATAAATAATTAAGCGTAGTCAAGTTTATACATACGTTAAAATGAGAGCATGATTGTGAATGCTCGCCAAAAGGAATGCAGTGGAGGTAAAGCATAACAAGTCACTTTTGAATGAAGAAAACCAGTCAATCTATATGGAATAGTTGCGGAAAAAGTGCCATTTGAGAAAAAATAGGTGTTGGACACGTGTGAAGGCAAGAGAGATCAGTATCAATATATGCATATATATATGTATAAATATATATACATACAGACATATATATATATATATGAGAAAGAAAAAGAAAAAGAAAAAAACAAACATGCAGACAAACGCAAGGAAAATTAATATATGGATGGAGATATGAAATAGTTTATTGATCCTTTCACCAATATGTTTGGCCTATATTTTTTTGCATTGAAAGATAGGCTGCACTTGCATAAGAGATATGCCATTGCCGACAAGTGAAGATAAATAAAATAGAAACCAAATGGAATCAAGAAAACAGGACGCAAATAATATTTTGTCTGGCTTAAGATGTTAAAAGCCTAAACCTCGGTTTCCTGTTCACCACAGTTGCACACGTTACTGCAAACATAAAAACAGGCACTTGAGAAAAAGTATCTATGCCAAAACAGTTAACATTGGTACTTGTGGGCACAAACAAAATGTGAGGAAGAAATCGCTCAAAAGATGTGCAGCTAGGAAAAGCCTGTAAAAGATATTTAAATATTAATGTTTAAATGACAAATAGCCAAACAAGATGGATACAATGAGAGTCCAATATATAAATCCGGAAGGAGAAATATCAGTTGACAAAAACGCAGATTGAAACCTCCAGATGAATAAAGGAACTTTTGTAAGGTTAAGATCCGAATGTCGTGTTCGGAGAAATATGTCTGAATGGACAAAGATTGGAATTATTAAGGATGGTTTAATTGTCGGTGAAACGAGAGAGGTTAAGACAGCAAGGCTGCAGAAGAATTTGCTGATTGTCTGTCATTTCTATTGGTACGGAGAAGACTTACTGCGGCGAAAGCGATTTTACCGGCAACCAAATAAGACGCAAGAGTAGAGGATTTGGAGAGAGAGAGAGAGTAGCAATGAGAAGGACAAACTGTCCAAAATATTACCGAATATATAAATGTATTATTAGCTGCGTAAAATAAGCCTGTGACAATATTTGATCGGCCAGATTCCTCTTTCAAAAAAGTATACAAGATTGTCACTCGCCCAGTGTTCACACCAATGCGCAAGCGAGCACACAAACAGACGGAAAAGCGAGATTCTCTTGTTACTCAAGTGTAAGGCCATCCATATGATTAAAGGATAGTAGTAAAGCAGAAGGCCTAAGTTCAGATAAATGTGCACAAGAGAAGTATACTTCTCTCCAATGAGTTTTGTCTTCGTTCAAAAAAGCGCCACTGGTTGGCTCAACGACGGAGGGTGGTTAGGATGTCTGTGAACGGTCTCGGCTAAGCGAGGTGCGTCTGCTTCAGGCTAAAAGTGTGAAGGAAAGGGAATGGAAAAAGCATCGTTTTTTTGCAAAATATGCGTATACAGGCACAATCCGTTGGGCGTTATATTTCCCTTAAAAAGGGTTGTGAAGGCCATAAACTCCCGATGTACAAAGGAAAAATTAAGGCAAATAAGACCACGAAATGGTCGGAGAAAAATAGCATGTTAGAGGCGTCCAGATGATAAAGAAGCGAGAAGAATAGTTGCTTAAATTAAAATTTATCTGCGATTCACTGACTGAAAACATTGTTAAGGCCAGACTACTTAAATAGCAGTTCTGGTTTCTCAAGTGATAGGAATATTGTGGAAAAGGGGGGAAACAGATAATGGGTAGGGTGGCACATAAGGTACATAGTAAAAAGAGACGCAACAGATCAGGTCTAAAAATGAGAAAATGTCGTCATGAAGGCAAATGTGGATTTATAGAAAAGAGTAGGAATGAAAAAACTTTTTCTAGCAGAACCAAACAGAAGAGACAATATAATGGTTATCTGAAGTGAAAGATAAGCAGAAAAGAAATTAATCAGATCGATCGAAATACTTGTGTAAACAAGAATGATAAATAGATGAAATATTTTACTACAGATAAAAATAGGCTGAAAGATCGTTAAGGATGACCGAATGGATAAAAAAGTAGCAGATCAAGAATAGACCTGAGCAGAGGATTCTCTTAAAGCCAAGTTTTGCTGACCATGGCTATTCATTTCTGGGACGTCTCCCTAGCCCCAAGGTGTGGCCTCTGTGGCCGAGATCGGCGCAGCCAGATTAGGGTTGCCTGCAAGACCAACTACATCGCCGCATGTAGTGGCAAGGAGTCTGGCGTCACCTTCGGCTGTCTGTGCCGTGAGATCAGCTGAAATATCGCGCACGCTGGGAGGAAACGAGCTGCTAGAGGGTCCAGCCAGACGTCTGCTGGAGACAGTTTGTGCTTGAGGGTAAGTGTAGGTGTCTGCAAGTACGCCTGTCGACGAGTGTATGGACTGCGGGGGCTGCAGTTGTGAGAAGCAGTCTTGCGACCGACCTCCAGCTGCCGGTATTCTGGTTGGTTGTCTGGAGGAAGCCAACACCTCAGGACTGGAGTAGGCTGAACCGGAGAGTTGTGCTGAACTCATCTGCAGAGAATCCGCAATTCCGGTTTGGAAGGCATGACTGAGCGTGCCAGGGGCAGAATAGGCCGTCTGATTGTGGGGTTCGCATAGGTGGCTTTGGCCAGGTTGCATTTGCTGTTGCTGCTGCCGATGATGATGTAAGCCAGACGGAGACTGAGCCAGAGTCACAGAAATTGGTGGAAGAAGACTGCCAGAAAGTGGCCCGGGCGACAGCGAGGAGCCGGATGGACCTCCACTACCGCCAGCAAGCAAAGCTTGATTGGATTCGTGCGGAGCATAGCCAGACTGGTAGGGATAAGGCAGAGAGGTTATAGGCGTATGTGTGACCGAGTGTACAGGATGCATGTGTGGACTTGTCAAGTAGAGACCGTTCTGTGAAGGCATCTCCTGGCTGGGTGCCGCATGATGATGAAGTTGTGGGATTTGTTGTCTTGCATGATGCATGGTCGAGTACTGAGACAATGTTTGCTGCTGCCCTGGAGACAGAGCTGAGCGATGGGCAATAGAATGATTGTTTTGAGCAAGGGAAGCGGGCGAGTGAATGGGAGGTGAAGGCGTTGCCTGAGGTCGAGCACGTGGCATTGGAGAACTGGAATGCAGGGCCGCTGCCTGAGTGACCTGCGTACCAGAATGTGTGGAAAGAGTTATCGGAGACACAACAAATTGGGGGCAGCCGCCAAGTTGTTGATCGACAATATAGCCAGCGGAAGGGATAGCGGCTGTCTGTGGTGAATTGGGGGGGTAAGGCAATGCAATATGAGTTTGGAGACCCGGTGGTTGGCAACTTCCAATTGCTAGATTGGCCGGCCTAGTCAAGGAATCGCAGAGTCCAAGAGATTCAGAATACGGGCCTGTAATTACTGTAAAAAAAATTTTGGATGTAAGAAATAAAGGAATAAAAGAGGTAAAAAGAGGATATCACTTAGGCTATGTCAAATGGCATGTGTTGCTAGCAAATGGTCTAGGTTTCGTCTAAAATTTGATAA